CGAAATTTCTATCTCTCTCCAACCACATAAATCTCGAACCCTAGCTAGCTTCTCACTGATTGAACTCGTTAATTTCCCCCCTTTTGGCTAAATTGACCAACTCCAACAAAAGCGGAAGCCGGAGAGAAATCAATGGCGTCTGGCGGCGGAGGAGAGTCGGAGAAACCAGTGGGAATCGGATCCGACCCGAAACCCGTGGGTTCCAAATTAGGCGGAGTCGGGAGCAGGAGCGCCGGAGAAGGATCCCAATACGTGAGGGCGGATACTCTGGATTTCAGCAAATGGGATTTGCATATGGGTCAAAGCTCTACTAGTTCCCTCGTCAAGCCTCCCGATTCCACCACTAGAGCTCCGATGCAGGAATGGGAGATTGACCTCTCCAAACTCGATATGAAACACGTCCTCGCTCACGGCACCTACGGCACTGTCTACCGCGGTGTCTACGCCGGCCAAGAAGTCGCAGGTCCGTCTAATAAATCTTTACTTGTTTCCCGATACAAAATATTCAGATGATAATGATTCGTTTTTTGCATTTGCAGTGAAGGTGTTAGATTGGGGAGAAGATGGTCAGTCCACAGCAGCTGAAACCACTGCTCTGCGTACTTCCTTTGAGCAAGAGGTCGCCGTCTGGCAGAAGCTCGATCATCCCAATGTTACAAAGGTATTAACATTTACACTGCAGGATATGCCAATATCTAGAACCTTTTGATTGAACATTTTCAATTTCACCACTCGTGTAGTTTATAGGAGCATCCATGGGAACCTCTGATCTCAAGATCCCTCCTGCTAGTGCTTCTGGCGGACGTGGTAACGGTGCACATCCTGCGAGGGCCTGTTGTGTTGTTGTTGAATATGTCCCCGGAGGCACACTTAAGAAGTTCCTCATCAGGAAATATAGGTCCAAACTACCTATCAAGGATGTCATTCAGATCGCTTTGGATCTCGCTAGAGGGTAATCAGGAACCACACTCTTCTCTCCTTTGCTTTGGGGTTTTGTTGTTTATGTCCAAAATTTATGATACATTATTTGGTATCAGGCTGAGTTACCTCCACTCCAAGGCGATTGTACATCGGGACGTAAAGACAGAGAACATGTTGTTAGAAACTAACAAGACGCTGAAGATTGCTGATTTCGGAGTAGCTAGAGTCGAAGCTCAGAACCCTCAAGACATGACTGGTGAAACTGGAACACTTGGATACATGGCACCAGAGGTATGTATCTGTTCATATAGAGCCAGAATCGCCTTGTGTATCGTAATGGGAAGAACTAAAAATTAGCTATTTGTGCATAGGTTCTTGAAGGAAAGCCTTACAACAGGAAATGCGATGTCTATAGCTTTGGTGTATGCCTCTGGGAAATCTACTGCTGCGACATGCCCTTTGCTGACTGTAGTTTTGCTGAGATCTCTCACGCCGTTGTTCATAAGGTTTCGCTCTCTCACTATAACCATCCTTTTTATGTTAAAGTCAATCAGAAAATCTAATC